CCAAGACAGGCGGCGGGGTCTGTGTGGAGGAATGCAGCTGGGGAGGAAGAGAGGTGGAGCCAGGTAGGATGCCCAGACCAGACAATGGATCGCTCTGATCGTTAGCAAAGGGTCGGGGAAAGATAACCAAACACTGGGGCTTCCCGGGATCACAGGTGAGCAGCGTGGTCCACTTCTAAGACGATGTGTTTGCATTCAGACCCATATCCTCTGGTGACCCTTCTCCTTCCAGCTGCAGAACCTTTCTTTGACCCCCAAAGCACTTAAGCCCAGCTCTCACAAAGTTTCCAAGCAAAGTCTCGTTTGCCAAAAATCCCAAAAGGCAAATGAATGGCAGGTGAGAAATAGCCCCCACCTGGGAAGCACGTTCCGCTGGAGCTTGGGCAGCCAGAGCTGTATTTTGTGGGGAGACCTCCTTTGGGGAATTGACGAAAGGGATGGAAAACGACCTAGGATGCCTCCCAAACAGACTAGAGGAATGACCCAGGGACTTCCAGTTTACCTGTCAGAAAGAAATGCCAAAGAGCTGAGAAGTCTGAATCCCACATTCACAAAGCCGACAGTGGAGTCTGAGAATGTTTCGTGAGTGCACAGGCCAGACGGCGTCTGTGAGAGGGATCTGAAACCCCAGCAGTTAGTAGACAGTGCTGCACCCCTCTTCCTGGCAGCTACAGCGGTGGTGCAGTTTGGGGCTCACCACTGGCCAGCAGGCCACATGAGCACCTCCCCAGCAGAGGGACCTGGGCTGGGCAGAGCCTTGGGGACAATTCCAGTCAAGCACGGAACATCTAAACAGCAGCCACGTTGCTGCCTTTTGGGGACCACACGGGTGGAGATTTTCCCCCTGCCCTGTCATACTCTGGGCCCAGGAACGTGAAGCCCCCAAACTGAGAAGACTGAATACAGCACATGGGACGGGGCAGTGATTGTTCTGAATTCTGAGATTCCTTCGTGTTACTTGTCCCGCACATCAGGGGAGACGGGTCCCAGGCCTGCCACGCTGTATAACTCCAAGGGCCCCCCGTTCACAGACAGTACAATCAAATACAATGTGAACAGCACCCCATGGAGTTGTGAGGGTGATCAAGTAATTCTGGCAAGTGGTACCTCCCCCTCGTTTCAGAGATTGCTAATGTCCACTAGCTCAGTAAAGGCTCTGAGAAGTCCTATAGTAAACAAGGTTTTTAAAAACTTGGTTTCATCAAGTATTTTTTGCTTTCTCAGCCACAGAACCCTCATTTCAGAGAAAACCTCCTAAAATCCCAGGGAACTGGGCTTATGGAGAATGTACTTAAGAAAAGCCTCCACCAGTAGAAGCAATTTCACTATCTTGGTTCTCAGAGACAGCCTTAGAGCTGACTCGTGTTACTGACCCTCTGGGAGATCACCCTCACCACGACCTTGAACCTGCCTGTGTTCAGAAAGACACTTAGGAGGCCCCAAAGGGTCTCCATTCTCAGCTGCTTTCTCCGTAACACAAACTTCTGTCTGGGGCTACAACAGATACTTAGAGGTTACTCATGACCATGTGAGGCCCACCTGGAATCCGATGCATCACGGAGAACCAGGGATGGACTCCCATTCTCCACCCGAGATGCTCACCACTGGTCTACAAATGTGGGACGATGGACAGGGTGAGTGGGAGGGACTGGCACATTTCTCACTCTAGAGATTAAACCAGCACCGGACAGAGTCCACGGGGAAGAGTGCCAGTCCTTGCTCTGGCATCACTTATTTATGAAGCACCTCTGCCCTGATCCAGCCCCTGAGCGCACAGGTGGAGAGAGGTTCCAGTTACAGCCCCATTCCATTTACCCTCTCACTCGGGTAAGGCATTCTGCATTAGTTGAATTTTCTACATGATAACCCCCTTTCAGGTAAGCACCAAAACTTTATCCTCACCATTTTGGGTGTAAATTGTTCAAAAGTGGATGACACCTTGGTCTCTCTTTTAAAATGGAGCACAGTGCCCCGAACTCAGCCTGTGTTTGATTATTCAGGACAGATCAATTATTAACTCAGCAATACCTTGAGGTCAGCCCTGTAAGGCACATGGGGCAGTCTGACCCTATACTAAGTGGCTCTAAGCATCTTTGCTGGATGCATTTGGGGGAAGTTTTTGAAAGACTGTTTTACTAGAGAGAGGACATGGAAACTATAAGAAGTCACTGAACCCCCAGATAACCCGGATCGTCAAAACTTTGCATAAAGGAAAAGTCAATGGTCTCCGAGTGAGCACCAAAGGATTCCTGCCGCTGGAGTGTCTGATAACTAGCACCTGGTCTTTGTGATAACTACTGAGGCTATTTTGAAGCTTTCTGCCTTACTTCCTACTTCTTGGCTGGGTTCCTGAGAGGACATTTTCCTAAATAATTGAGGTTTCAGGGTATATCAGATGCTACTGCCGGTAGAGTGGGAGGCCGGAGCTGTGGATGGCCGCCAGCGGTATAGGCTTTCCTTCTGCCATTCAGAAATTCAAACCACCTGTCTTCCTTCTTCTGGCGCCCCCAGGGGAAGGCTGCTCTGCCTGTCCCGCCCTCTCTGTCCTTCACCCGCACCTGGCTGACCCCAGGTGAGTCCTGCCAACACAAGTGGCCCTTCCTCCCTGCGATCACAGACCAATGTCACGCACGTGGCCACTCCAACAAGACTACCGTCCAGCTGGGCCCCCGCCAACAGACTCAGGCGCCTACAGACACACAAAGCTGCCTCTGCCTCTTTTCATTGGTCCAGCCACCCCATCAGCTGGGCTCACCACGACGGAAGCCCGCTGCTTCCCTCCCATCAATGCGCGGCTCTGTTCCACTGGCACAGGGCAGAGATATGCCCGCAGCCTGCCCGCAAGCCTCCATTCATGCTCCCTTCCGAGAGAGCCACTTTTCAACGAGATTTCTCCTTCCCCCGGCCCCCTCCCCCTCCCCCAAACACACAAAAGAGGGCTATAAAGTGGGATTTTTTTTTTTTCTTTCCGGGAATAAAAGGTTAGCTTTCCTTCCTTTCTGTTTCCCTATCCTTGGTCTAAATTTGGCAAGTGGAAAGAG